GTGTCTGTCATCCACGCGTTCACAGACTCAACAGATGCATACTGAATGCTCACTAGTGTCCAGGCCATTCTATGTTCTGGAACAATCGAGATGAGCAAGAGAGAGACACACAAAATCCCCGACCTCATGGGGGAGTCTGCATGTTAGAAGGAGAAGAAAGATGACAGATAAACATGCAAAACAGAATACGTCAGGTGGTGACAAGTGCTGTGGGGACACACAGGAAGACCAGGAAGGGTTGTGACATCAAGCCCAATGGCCAAGGGAGGTCTCGCTGGAAGGGGGCTTTGAGCAAAGATCTGAGGAGGTAAGGGAGTCAATGGGTGATCTGAGGATGGTGGGGCAGAAGGGTAGAGGCCCCGAGACCTCTCAAGGAAGAGCCAGGGGGCTGCAGCGGAGGACGAGCAGCAGGGGAGGAGAGAGAACAGAGGCTGTCCCATGGCTCCGGGGCCATGTTGACTTGAGTGGGCCAGGAAGGCCTGCAGGGCCTAGCAGAGGAATGCCACCATCCCCGGCCTGTGGAGGGCTCTCCCGGGCTGCTGTGTTGAGAGCAGACTGGGGACTGTGGGAAGCAGCGGGGGCAGAATGGAGGCTGTTTGGGAGTCCGATTTGATGTCCTGTTGGTGATGAAATCTGCGACCTTCATCTTCCCTCCACGAGACGGTTCATCTAAACTATTCTTGAGTACCTCTGCCCCTGCTTTAACTTGCTTTGCTCTCAGGGGAAATGGAAAAGCTGTTGACTGAATTGGACGCCTGCTCCACCGTGCACCCCCACCCCTTCCTGACCCGTCAGTTGTCTTCTCTCAGAGTGAAGGGGGCATTCGGCGAAACACCATTGATTTCCTCCCTATTGTTTCCCAGCCGTGAAGGGGCCCACGCAGAATGCACCCACACCTGGATAATAACAAGCCATTCCAACCGTCCTTACTTGAAACATTCCCACATCTTCACTTCCCCCAAACTCTAATCTTTGCCTTTTCAAATAGAAATTATTTCTGTCCTTGCTCTCTGTGGCTCAGCTGTGTGTCTGTGTTCTTAGGTTTTGCCGGGCCTTTTATTCTTTTTGCTTCCTTCTAATGGCTTTGTGTCTTTCCCCTCCATAATTGACTTATAGGTGACACTGGCAGCTTTGGTACAAGAGACTTATGAGGGAAAAATGGATAGGCCCAGAAGAAGTGCTTCAGGCACAAAGAGGGGGAAAAAAGAGAGAGACTTTGAACGGAAGAAAAGGGGTATTTGCTTTGACTCTTTTTCATCCTTCTAATGGTAGGTGACACTTGCTGTGAAGGGACATAAGAGTTCCACCTCTTCATTTTGCCCACTAGAAAGGACCTGGTCAATAGTAGAACAAGTGTCCAAACAATGGGCTACAACTCTGTGATCTGTGCTTTCCGACCCTCACCCCACCTTAGTCTCCAAAAATAAAACTAACCCTAACATCAGTTCACTGTGTAAAGCAGGGCTCTCAGAACTCTGTGGCTGATATCAGAGACCAAAAATACCAGGATTTCTTTAAAAGATGCTACTAAACAGAAAGCCATCCCCAGGGAAGTAATGAAAGTTCTAAACTTTCAAGGTAGCCCAAGTTTCCCTGATTCCTATGAACATGGTGCTTGCCTAAGGGTTTTAGGTGGCCCCTCTGGGACTCTGCAAGGGCTTCTCTGTGCATATGGCCTTCACTGTCACATTATTCCCATGGACTGTCGACCTGACCCAACTTCCCCGTGTCCATCACATGTGATCTACACCCAAAGTGCTGAGCTCTCTCCTTCTATCTCAGTTCCGTAGCTCCCAAGCCTGGGCTTCTTTTAAAGAATTCCTTAGGAAGGTATGTGGACTAATTCCAAGGGATCTGGAGCTGGTAGGAAATGGACCTGTGCTAATTTTTGATAATAAACATCAAAAAATGAAAACAAGAAGAGCTACCAATTTATCTTTGCCAGTGGAGCTCATAGATTCTCCCATCAAAGGTTGACTCTTTCAGGCTGTTTCATGTCAAAAGTCCCTGCCCAAACCTGGAGAGGCACCTGCAATCACAGGCAGAGCACAGCTCTGCAAATACAACTTGTAGTTCTTTAGATCAAAAATTGATTTCCTGAGGATGAATGGGGAAAAAAGTATTTATCTATTCATTTATTTATGGCTCAGAACCACTGCAAAAAAAGGAAAGTGTCCATAAGGAATGAAATACAACACAGTCTTTAAACACCGAGAGCCCTTGGGTTCTCTCCTGGACCCCTGGGAGGTGCAACTGGGACAGGCTATTTAACTCAAGACTCAGCTCCCATGTGTGTAAGATGTCCATACACCGAGGAGAGCTCATGAGGTCATTGTGAGGACAAGAACATGGCCTATGGAAGCAGGTAGCACCATGTCTGATGAATGAAGTGCTCAGAAGATGTTCACTATGACTGCTGCTCCCGTCATTCGGGAAAGCAAACAGATTGAGGATGGTGTGTTTATGTCATAGAGTTAAGAGGGACATTTGCCTTACATGGAACTGCATTCTCCTGGGTCACTCCTGAATTATAGAGTTAGTGATTACTGAGAGCAGATAAAGCTAAACTTTTTTTTTTTTGGATGGTATTGGGGAACCTCTTCTTTTGAGCTACATCCCTAGTCCCTTTTTGTTATTTAAAAAAATTTTTTTTAATATTTATTTTTCAGTTTTCGGTGGACACAACATTTTAATTTTATTATTATTATTTATCTCGACAAAGGGTCTTACTAAGTTGCCAAGGCTAACCTTGAACTTGCCATCTTCCTATTTGAACGCCCCCCCACCCCGCCCCCATTGGAGTTGCCAAACTTGATTTCTAGCACCAGTCTTGGAACTGGAATTTCAGCATCGATCATGATGACTTAGCTCTTAACGAGGAGTCCTCCTCTAGGGCAAGTGCACTCACCCCGGCTCCGGGTGTGCTAAACACACGTGGGAGGTGTTTATAGGTGCCTTCCCTAAGTAGAAGGCCAGCGGGGAACAGGGTGGGCCACCTCCTGCAGGGCAGCACACACCTCTGTCTCCCACTCTGGACAGCAAATCTACACTAGAGCCCCAAGCTAGGACTCTGCAGAGAGGAAATCATGACCACTATCCCAAAAAAAAAAAAAAAAAAAAAAAAAAAGAGCTTCTCTTTCTGAAATGGTATTGAGAAAATATATATTATCTCCTCAATAAGTGATGCTGTTATTGTTCTGGTTTCTATTTTGTTATTCCTGTCAAAGTAATCCTGGATGAATACAATAGCATACAAGAAAAAAATACACGGCGAATATATTTCTTCTTACTGATAAGTTTCCCTAATATGTAAAATTTCTAATTTTAAACAATAAAATCATGATTTTTTTTTCCCTAAAAAATCACTCTGAGACTGAGACCAGGCTTGGTCAAGAGTTTTTTCATGCTTAAGATGTTTTTCTTAAAACCATTACCCTAAATGTTAACTATTTCATGACTATGTTACCGCTTTGCCCTGTGGTCCAGGGCTGGACCTTTGTTCTTTAGTCCTTGCTGGACAACAGAAGCATTCATGAATAGCAAAGTGATTAAACAGATCGTGGGCTTGCCATGCCATGGAATACTCTGAAGGCACCACATAAAATGAAATAGATCATCAGGCTTTGACATTGACGTTGCTTCCGGCCACGTTCTAGTGGAAACTCAGAACCAAACAAATGGTATATATCCCCCCTCTCTACAGAGCACACACACATTTATGTGACAATGACCCCTCTGCATGTAGGTGTAGGGCTGCGTACTTGCATGGGACCAAGAAGAAAAGAATGAAACCCACTCACTCGGTGCTCAGTGGGGAGCTGAGTGGGGCATGGTTAAGGTGGGCAGGGAGCTGAAGGAAGGGAGATTTTTGAGAGTCTTTTAGGTGAATCTTTCACAAGGAGACTGTAGTCAGGTATGGCTTGTGTGGTTGATAAACCAAGGTGCTGAAAATATTGACACTGGACACCTCCCACGGGGCGATGTAAGGCCCGATGGGGTGCTGAGGTCTTCTGGGGTTGCCGGATCAAAGAGGGGAGCCCACGTGTCTTCAGGAAGAGCGAACGGGGCCTACTCCACCCTGCTCAATTGATCGCAGCTTTCAGTGGTTAGGAGAGATGATCAATTCCAGGAGTAGCCCGAGCTCCAGAGTGAGAGAAAGCGAAAGTAAATAATTTCTCAAACTAAACAGACTAAATTAAATGCATTTTTCATTCATTAGAAAAGAGAGCAGGTCCTCCTTTGTTTTATTAATATCTTTAAGCAGAGTATGGATTTTTGTCTTTCTTGGCCTCTTTCTCTTGTTCCCAGTGGCCCATGCTGTCTTTTTATTTGAATTATCTGTTTATTATATTAGGTTAAGAACCCAAAGGCCATTTTGCCTGGGACACACTATAAATACCCATTATCACCGTTATCTATTATTGAACTGATGAAGAGAGACAATTTATGGAGAAATTAGATTATCTCAGTTTTTTTTGTATAATCTATTTTACCATAGTCTAAAGATTACATATACAGTTAAGAAAATGAACCAAATCTTCCAGTTGGTAGTTCCTGCGGTTCCATCTACCCGGCTGTGATATTAGGGGGAACCACAATGTGTAAGCCAATATATTTATGTCAGCATGCTTCTCCCCCCCTCCCCATTCACACACACCTATTTCATTCATCATCTTGACAGTTTGCACAAGCAAACTGTCCTAATTTTTTTCAAGAGCTCTTTTCACAAATTGAGTGTGATGTAGAATTAATCATACCTGTTAGGCAGGATTGGAGGCCTTTCAGCCCTGCAGGGCATTCCTGTCCCTCAGCCCTGGAGGGCTTCCTTGGACTTCTGCTGCCCGCCCTCATCCCACAGGGCCCAGGGTTCCCGTCTGCTTTCAATCCAGAGAAGTTTGCTCTTACTTCTGGGTTGAAAATACCCTTTTCATGTGCTGCAACGGTCCCTGCTTTCTTCCCAGCAAAATCTCCTACACTTAACTGTTCTTTTGTCTTCTTAGGAAGCCTCTCCTTGACCATGTCTCTCCCTTCCTATACTGCCCTCCTATCTCTAAGAAGAAAAGATGGAAACAAAGAAATGTCAAAACATCAGCTTCAAATAGAAAGTGCTGCTTATGACCCCAAAGGAGCCGCTGGTGCCTTACAGTTAAGTGCCTGCATTTCACTCCGTTTTGTAGAATACAGGGTACGATGGGTACAGGAGAGGGGTCCAATAGAGAAAAACTGGTACGATTTATTTATTTATTTATTTTGCTGTAGACTTAGGACTTGGGACTTTGGTATATGAATGTATGCATTTATGCCAACTAGTATTTTACACACACAGAGGAGAAAAATTCTTTTTAATTGCAGTTAAGCACTCATGCTTAAAATTCCATCTCTGAACCCCTATTCTGTTTTTTTCTTCTTTCTTGTTACAAGAGAACAATGTGAAAACTGTAGCCCAGACCTGAAATGGTGAAGATGCTGTTAGATAAATATGTACTTCTTTGCTTAGCTGCACTTTGAAAATTATATAGCGGCTGACAGTTCAGTGGAAAGAGTAGTATTTATATCTCGAAAGCGCACAGCAGCCCTGACAAATATGAGTTACATAACCCTAATGATAGCTGTTCTCACACACACCAAGTTGCTTCAAAGGAGAGAAAGTTCCGAACTTGTTCTCATGCACACCCGCTCTCAGGAATTGCATCTTAAGTGTAATTCTCAGCCTCAACTTTCAAGAGCATGAAACCCTCACTTCTTTCATGAAGGAGCTTTGAAGTGGAAATCAGAAACCCATGCTCTGGTCCTGACTCGGTGGCCCACCAGCTCCTGTGTAACCACAAATAAGAATGTCCAGAGAAGTCAAGGAGCTCACAGCCTGCTGGGAAGAGAAAATATTTTGTGGATCCTAACGCAGGAAACAAAGGTAGGTGATGGAACAGGAGGAGAGCAAGGAGGGTAATGGAGGAGGAAGAAGGGAAAGGCTATTGGAGCTCAGGTGCGAGTTAGGTTGTTGTAAATTATGCGTGACAGACATCTTATGTCAGTCTGGGAGAGCCCGGCACATAGTAGGTGTTGAATAAATGCTGATTGAGTAAGTGAAAGTGAGACATATGATCAACACCATCTCTGTGTGACCCCCAAGTGTGACAGGAACTGAATAATGGGCCACCCCTCACAGTGGGTGTTACTTGGCAGACAGCAGGAGGAAAGGAAGCGCTTGAGAGGCCTGACAAGTTGTCACAGACCATAACAAAGCTCCGCCCTGAGTTCCAGATGTACTCCACAGTACTGTTCTGCTCTCTTGGTGAAGTCCCCGGGGTGGGAAGTGGGGAATGGGCTTTGGCACAAGATGGACCTAGATTCAGATGTGAGTTCTGATACTTGTCAGTGCTCTGTGCTTCAGACTCTTCATGGGTGAACTGAGAAAATTACTTATCTGAACAAATTATATAACAACTCGCTAAGATGATTCTATCATTCTTATTAGCTTTGTGATTAGCTTCCATTTTTCTCATCTGCAAAATGGGAATTAAAGTGGCAGGTACCTTGAAGAGATAGTGGGAGAAACTGTATGCAAAATGCCCTGCTAGGTAGTAAATGCCTGATCCATCTGGGCTGGTAGAGTTAGCATACCAACAATCAGTTTATATCTTGGCAGGTATGAATAACGTTTACATGATTTTATACACATCTACCCAATAATTCTGTAGTCCACATTACTTATTTGTCTTAAGTGTTATTAAAACTCGTAGTTGGATATGGACTCTTATTTCTCCATTGCGTGGAGGAAAAAATCCAGTTACAAGAGGTGGATGATGAACTGAAGGCGATAACTTCAGTGACAGCAGAGTCAGGCAGATTCCCGGATCCAAGTCCAGGAGCAGATTTTCTAAGAGCCCCACAGCCTTCCTACCTCAGTGCCCTAGGGCTTCAGGGGGTGTCGGTGTCACGTCCACCATGTGTTGGTCATGTCATGGAAAGAACTAGATGGAATCCTGACTCTGCCTTTTGTTACCTGTGCGTTTCCAGGAAAGTCACTTTAAACATTTCTAAGCATTGTTTGCTTATCTAGAAAACAGGATTTGTATTATTTATCTCATATATAAGATCAAGTGAGATCAAACCAAATGCAAAAACAAATGTCAAGCACTTGTCATTAGAAACATCATGAAAGAACTCTTATCCTTGTGTCTTACATGGTAAAGCCCTGGCACGAGAGATCTTTGAGTCTGATATTGTCCTCGGGGCTCACAGAATGCTGTTCTAACAGGTGTCAGGTGGACAATGGCATTAGGTGGACAAAGGTATTGTGGGCCAATCCATTGGGAATATCGGGTGAAACAAGACTGAATGAGGTTCTTTTCTGCGGTACTGAAGTTCTGTAGAACTTCCATAGGGTAGTCGATGACAGGAATCTCCTAGAGTGGGATGAACTAGGAGCATTTCTTAGGTTTATCTAACCACAGGATCCTCTTTAGCAGACCAAGTCATGTGACTGGTGTTCCACAGAACGCACCAGGGATGGGCTGGTTGAGTCCAGCATCTTCCTTTGATGGATACAGGAGCTACAGCCAAAGGCTCACTCAGAGGAGCAGCAGCAGGACCAGGACCGGCCCAGCTCGTCTGACGTCACGGTTTGCTCTGTATTCACACCCCTGGGTGTAAAACAGTTCCTTTTTTGCAGCTGCTCCATTGCCTGCTGCTGGTCCTAAGGGGGTGATTGAGGCTCAGAAAATGATACTCCAGAGGATGGCTTTGGCACGCTCAGTGCTTTGAACTCAAGGAGAGCCAAGGTCTCTGGCCTCCTCCTGCTCCCTGCTCCTGTCTCTCATCCCTCTTTCCTTCAGTTCCCTTGGACCCTCTAGAATACTAAGCTACAGGAAGAAAAACTCACAGCCCACGTGAACTCTGCTCCAGGCACTTGTCTTTGGGCCCACTCCTCTCCCCTAAAAAGTCATTTATTCTTCCTCTGAAACTGCCTACAGTGCCCACTCCCCTCTCCACTATAAAGAAAGTATTTAAGCTGTAACCATCTGGTCCCTCTTTGAATTTCATGCTTTGTGCGACTCCTACTTGCCTGCATGAGAATAAACTTGCACCTTTTCTCCTGCTAATCTGTCTCTTGTCAGTTGGTTTTATGGATTCAGATTATTAGACTTCAGGACCTGGAAAGGAAGCTCCTTTCACCTCTGCAAGATCAAGGTATGAAGTCTCTAGATAGGTCAGGGGAAGAAAGAAATCCTGAAGACATCTGGTCATAGCACATACAAGAATTGACAGGATCAGGGGACTGGGTAGCAACAGCAGTGGAACAGGCCAACGAATCCCAAGAGTGGCCATGAGAATAAGAGACAACGGTATGTTTGCAAACAGTATTCATCAAAAGGGGCAAAGGGGAAGGCTGCCCACTAATGTCACCAACGGCAGCCCAGTCACATAAGCCATGTGCAGCCTGTCCATATTTTATTGAGATGAGCAATGACATGTCCTGTAATGGCAACGAAGCAATAAAATTTATGTCTTGTCATCTTTAACAAGATTAGACATAACCCTTCTCATAAACGCAATACCAAATGGAGATTTTTAAGAACATAAGTATAGTTAAGGATCCTTGAGTTTATCCCTCATAGTTAATTAAAATCCTCCTCAAGAATTGGCAGATGATAGATAGGACGTCGAACCTTTGAATCCAGGGAAGGGTGAACTCTGGATTCTTCCATACCTTGCTCAGCCTCGGCTGGCTCCGTGACTCACAGCACTTGTACCATATGGATTTCAGAAGAGACGCGAAGGGAGTGACTCCGATCCCTGCCGCAATGCACACGCTCACAGGGTAGTGAAACACGTCCGTCAGCGCGGTTCCAAATGGCCCGTCCACTGCCATCCTGGAATCACAGAGCGCAGTGCATTTGACCTTGAGAACACCTTGTTCTTGACACAAAACCAGCCAAGCCAGTGCTTTTCAAAGGTCCTATTTTGTGCTCAAAATCGCCCCATTCAGAGAGCACAGGTTCAGCATGAGGATTTGGGGTCTTGCCTCAGGGGGAGAAACCAGTTAGTCCTGCCCAGGTGCCATCTGTGGAGGGAAAAACTCTGCCAGCTCCTGCATTAGCGCACACCTCTCCCACCTGGTGAGCTCTGCTTATAGTTCCGAGAGGTTTGCTTTGATTCCGAGCATCATGGAGAAAGAGACGGATGGAGGTGGTTTATAAGGCTTTTCTCTACTTTTCCTCAGGTAATTCTCTCTGCGTACATTGATTTGGTTGCATTGCTTTGTCTGTTTGTATTATCTAGTCTAATGGAAGTCTTTCATTTGGAATAAATTTACTTTTGAAATAATTTGTCTGTTAGGGAGAACTTCTACAAATCACTATCTTGGGTAATGCTCACTCGAAATCTGTGATAATTAGGCCGGGGCCAGCAAAGATGCTTTGTCTTTGCTTGGCAAATTTTTCTTTATAAGCATAAAGTATATTCATGGAATAAGTCAGATGGTCTTTAACACTGTCCTACGCGGACTGGCTCCTTGGATTTATCTCACGGCTCATCACTAGTTCCCCCGTTGGCTTTTCTTCCATTTCCCTAATCAGACAGGACTGCCTTCTGCATGTGTTATCTTTCCACCTGGAATACTCTGCCCAGTTCTCCCCATCCCTTTACTTGGTTAAGAGTTACCCTTTCATGAGGTCCTATCTGGGGAGTCTCTCTTGGTGTCCTAGACTAGATTAACCCCCTTCATATAGTTTAGGCACCATGTACCCCCGCTTCTCATAGTTACGATTTTTCCGTGTGTGTGTGTGTGTGTGTGTGTGTGTGTGTGTGTGTACTTGCATGCATGTGTGACTTAATTCCATCTTGAATTCTGGACCCTCAGGTCTATGGAGGTAGGAACCAGGTCTCTCTTTGTTCAAGCATCTCTTTGTATCTCAGCACCTCTCATGCTATCTGGCATGGAGCCGTTTAGCAACATTTGCTGAATCAATTGTACAGGGAATCCTCAAAATATTTCAGTCAGCAGAATGTATTAAATGACCCCAACGATTCCAAAAGTACACATTTACATATGAACAAAGATATGCTAATTAAAAGGTTTCTAAGTTATTCCTAACCATTCCCTAAGGAGAGTCTGTGGAAGGCACCAGGTTGGCCCATTTGGGCTGTGTTATGTGTTCGTGAAAGTTCAATTGAATTTATTTAAAAATTTTCCATATTCTAGACTTCCTAATAATTCAAATTAAGTCTCTTCAAGTTAATCTTAATTAATAAGGCTTTATTACATATTGATATATGGAAATGGAAGAATAAAAATAAAATGTCATTAATGGGAAAACGTTAGTATCTTAGCCCACGGTAGATTATTTTACAAATAATTAAAGAAAATTATTTTATAAATAATTACAAAAAACCGCCTACAGATTACATTGTCTTATTGTTATTATTTTTATAATGAGTAATACTTGGGATTTATTTGATACCAATTTAAAAAAGATATCAATTATACCCAAAGAAGAATTATGTCCTAAACTCCACAGAAACACATGATAAATTTCTGCATATTTAGAATTGAGAATCCTCCCTCCTGTCTCTGAGAGGTCACGTTTGGATGTTACAGTCCAGGATACCTTGATGCCTTTGGGGACACTTCTAAGTTTGGGGCAATTTTTCTCCTGTCTTACTGAGATCTGTCTTCTGACGTCTCTCGTCTTTTGCCTTCCTGAGAAACGTGTCCCAGGTCTTTCTCCTTTCCTGTACCTCAGGCCTTTCAGTAGTTGATCACAGCTGTCATGACAACCGTTATTTTTTTAGAGGCCCAAATCTCCTCGCTGCTCAAGACCCTTTGCAATTTCAGAATTGGCTTCCTTTGCCCTAATTCTTGTTTTCAAGTTTACTCCAATATCCCTCCTTGATTCCAAATCTCGGTTTCGAATAATGCACAACAGGAAAAGAGTCATCTTCCCGGCCTCTGTGTCCCACTGGGTCCTTGCTGTGTATGGTCTGCAGCAAGCCCCCTGCCCCGCCATCAGCCTCCATCTCCTGCCTTTGAAGTCTTCCCATCCAACCGTTACTTCCATTGTCCTCTCTGGTGCTCTTGCTTCCTACTTTGCAAATATTAATCATAGCTGATTTTTTTGAGCACTTACCATGTGCTGCCATGAATCATGACAAAGCTTTTATAAAGAACCCCATGGCTAACTCTAAACCAAGCCTTAAGGACTGCTTTTATCATCTTCTCGGTAAGATGAGGAAACCGAGGCAGGGAGTTCCACACATTCTCCAAGATCATGCCCAAAGTTGGACTTGAACCCATGCCCTCTGAGGCTGGAGCCCTGGTTCTGGGGAACAGGTGAAACGGCTGGGAACTCCAGCATCAACTCGGAGGAATCCTCCCTTTTACTTCAGGAGGCGTGGCCTCCTCGGCCCCACGTCGTCCCCTTTCCTGGGCTGAGGGGAAGGAGCACTCTGCTCTTGCTAGCCTTGCTTCTCCTCCTGCGTCCTCACTCACCCTTTTCCTCTCGCACTCGGGGGCTGGTTGAGACCTTTCAGGGTCCAAGCAGTGAACAGATGGGTGCTTTCCCCGTTATGGTGCAAAAGTAAAACAAGGTTAAACTGGAACCTGGGCCAAGGTCGTCCAGTAAGATTTGGATTCTTTGTGTCTTGAAGATCTGAACAAATTCTAGTTTTGAGGAGCACTTATGGCTCATACATATAACTGCACCTATGTAAAAGCAGAGGGCAAACCAGTTTAACAAATGACAGGAGGCGGCACTGTTCACGAGCACTCATTTAGTTATTGGATAGACACTCGTTGAGTTCTTACTTAGCAGAGCTAGTTTCAAGAACCAGCGATGTTAAAGTGAACCAAACATATAACTAACTCCCTCTGTCCACGGAGCCTACGCTGCAGAATGGGGAGAGACAGCAACAAGCAAACCAGCCCCTGTTTAGTGTGCCGTGTGGTGGTGAGTACTGTGGAGAAAATGAAAGGGTTGGTTTACATGGGGAGGCAAAGAAGGGCCTCCTTGGGAGGAGATCTGAGTGGAGACCTGGAGGGAGCACCAAGCAGAGATCTGGGAACAGTGTGCCCATGGAGGGAACAGCAGAGGCCAAGGCCCTGAAAGCAAGTAAAAATCAAGAGGACTAGCCCTCCACAAATGGGTACATCCAGAGAACGTGGAAAACAGACACAGTGGAATACTATTCAGTCTTAAAAAATGAAATTTCCTTATTTGTGACAACATGGATGAGACTGGAGGACATTCTATTAAATTAAATATTTATCAATTTCAATATATTTTGTAAGATATGTGTATTACATCTATGTCATTACAGTTAGGGGGGTATGTTCACAAGGTCTGTATTGTATAACAAGGTGATTGTAGTTGATACAGATGATATGTTGAAATCTTGAGAACTGCAAAAGAGTGGATGTTAGGTGCTTTTGTCACAAACATGTTGACTCTGTGAGGCAATACAACTGACGACTAGCTAGATTTAACATAATGTGTCGCTCTCCCTCTTCCTCTAGATCTATCTATCTGCACACATAATGCGTATGTACTTAAAAAATTGTGTGGTATGTAATAGATATATATCTATATAAGTAATTTTATCCATCAATTGAAACACAATCATAAAAAAGAAAGAAGATTGGAAGGGCTGAATCAATGAAGGGATGGGAGGTGGAGCAGAGAGCTCAGGGAGACCCCAGGGGACCAAATCATGCAGGACTTGGTTCTGGACCATGCACTCCACAGACAGAAAGCACATTCAGACGGAAAAGATACTGAGGAGTACACACTCGGGGCTTACTGGAGGATGGCTTAAGGGCTAGCTGGTTAGCAAGGGGAAGGGTGGCTGACAGACCAAAGAGCTGCTGCACACAGCACAGAAACCAGGCTACGAAGGTACCATCTTGAGGGTGTCCGTCCTGGCAATGTAGGGGAGGGCAGGGCTAGGAAGCTGTCAGACACCTCTGCATGTGTTTTTATTCCTGATTTTAGGTCTTTGCACTGCATCCTGAACCTTATGATTCTGTTCTGTTTCCCAGTTTCCATCCTATAAAAGCAGTCTTAGCTGAAGAGTGAGGCGACGTCACCTGATTTGGGGCTCTGGC